ACCACAACCGATAAAAACTCTAATTCAACAGCCTTCACAATCAATATCGAGAGTTACAATCTGACAACTCTCATATTTTCAAGGAGCCAAGACGAATGTTACAGGATGACGATCTTTGCAACGCTTTAGCAAAAGAGACAACAAATTGATGGTCTCTTCAAATCAAAACGCAAGTGGCCTCGTTCCAGAGTCAAAGCAATACAAATGCAGCTTCAACCTAGCTGCAAACGTAACTCCTAAACACTGCCAAACGCAGCTCTTAAATGATGCAAGCGCAGCTTCCATCTGTTAGGTCCTTTGTTTTGATGATGATTTACAAACACCATTATTGGTGCTAATTGTTTATTGAGCTATATTGTAGATTTTATATCATTAGCACTTTTTATGGAGGATTGGATGGAATACGAGCTATAACGATAATATCTAAAGGAGGTGGAGGCAATACGATGAAGCAAAGCTATCAAGAGCACAACACGTACAAGAGGCTTCATCAAAAATGAAAGCAAATATCAAGTCCAAGACATCAATATTCATATATGTGAGATATTTGTATTTTACTTCTCTCTAATGCTTAATGTAGGCAAGTTATTAAGTTGGTTACATCTAAAGCTCATTGGATTCACACATACACTTTCCATACAAACTATTGTTTTTGAACCTTTTTGGAAAAACAACATTTTCTATGATTATTAAGTAATTCTCAAAATTTCTTTTTCAATATATCAGAAAACATAGTTATAAACTTTTCCTAAAGTTTCACATTTTTTAGAATTTATTTGAGTTTTTTTATCTATGTTTTAAGTCGGATTTTTGGACATGCACAGTGTCTGTGCATGTTCATAAGTCGACTTATCAGACTGATAAGTCGACTTATGAACTGCTCCAGAATATGCAAAATCTCTCTGTTAAGTTGACTTATATGAACTGTTAAGTCGACTTATAAACTCCTATGGAATGTCCAAAAATCTCTCTGCCAAGTCGACTTGCATAACCTGTTAAGTCGACTTACACTAAGTCGACTTACGTATTTTATAAGTTGACTTATAGGCTGAAAAATGACTGTAACGGCTAGTTACAAGTCGACTTGTCACTGTAGCAAGTCGACTTATAACGGCTATTTTCTGGCAGCCTTTTTCGGGATTTTCTCTTTTGGTAAATATTTGGGCTAGGGTTTTGAGGCTCCATATATACTTAAACCCTCTCCTCTTTTCAGAACTAATGCAAGCAAGAGAAAAATCCTAAGTTCTATTTTCTAAGTGATTTGAGCTTAAATTTTCAATCTCTCATTTTCTAAAAGTCCTTTGTTTTCATCACTTCCACACAACAATCCTTTGAGCTTCAGTTGTCCTCACTTGATCCTTGTCATAAGGAATTTGTGTGAGAGTTTTTCTTGTTCTATTGTAAGTGAGGTTGTGAGATCTCGGTGGAGATCATTGTGTAGAAGAAGTTCCGGCTTCCAAACCGGGTGTGTAGTGGATTTTTCCTCGAGAGTGGGGAGCGGGGACGTAGGTCAGGCGGGCCGAACCTCGTGAACATACCGCGTGTCATCTATTGGCTAACTATCTCTAACCCTACTCTCTTTTATTGTCATTGCATTTCATTTTTGTGTGTGGTTTGTTGAAAAATTGTTAATTGCATATTAATTATTGAAAAGACCTATTCACCCCCCCCCCCCCTAGGTTTCAATTGGTATCAGAGCAGGTGCTCTTTGATTTAAGGTCTAACCACCTTGAGTTAAAGAAACTATTGCCAACATAACTTCCATCTACTACCAAACGCAGTTTCCAAGCTGCCAACGCAGCTTCCACTAAGCTATCAACGCAGCTTCCACTAAGCTGCAAACGCAGCTTCCAAATGCTACAAACGCAGCTTCCAGACGCTGCAAACGTAGCTTCCATACACTACATCCGAGCTTCCAGACGCTGCATCCGAGCTTCCAAACGCTGCGTTCGAGCTTCCAGACACTATGTTCGAACGAGAATTCATGTCAAAACGCAGATTTTGTGTTTGACTAGTTTAAATACAAGATGAATGGTTTCAAAACCGTTTTCCATGATTTGAGGGGATCACTCCCCTACTTAGGAGCGAATTAAGGGGGCAGTTACACCCCTTAATCCCCCTATAAATCTCAACAAACTCAACTGAGTTAAAGGCTGGTTTTTTGGAATCAGGAGAGATCTCTTTGGCAGATCGGATCTTGGCAACCTTCGGATCTTTTGGAGCTACTCTTGGAGCTTTTCTTTGGCTTGAAACCGATTTCGGTTAAACCAATTAACTCTTCCGTAAAGTTATAACTTGCTCAGAGTTCCCTAACTCGTTAAGAATTATTTTCAAACTTGTCATGCATGTTATCATCGACATCAATCAAGAGGATTCAACCGTGTTCCACGAGTTTAAATGTCGGATCGTCAACGAGAAGCAAACTCGACGCGAGTTTCGAGGGAGGCATCTCATCGACACCAAGAAGAACCCAGGTTAAACAAATGGAAGGATCTCCATCGACTCTTCTCTCTTTTGTAATTCGGGAAATCGATTGAGGAAATTGTAATTTTTTTTTCTAAGTTTGTTAGAGAGAGATTGCAAAGAGAGAATTATAATTAATTCTTTTTCTGAGTCTGTCAGAGAGAATAACACAATTTTAATTCTCCATTTTCTTCTTTCGATTTTCCCACCAAACAATCATAAATTTAAATTTAAAAAATAAAGAAAAAATTCATGTAAAGAGCCTCTCTATATAAATCATGGATTAATTTTTGAACCCCTACACAACTATTTTAATTTGAGAAACACCCCCCCCCCCCCCAAAAAAAAAAAAAAATTAGTTTGAGGATAACCCTAATCAAGTTTGAAAATTTAAGAAATCTCCATGAACGCTTCTCACTTTATGCCCCGAATGCTAACATTGTTAGGTATAGCATGTCATGACTACCCCTCAATCATAAAAAATTACTCCAATTTTTTTTAGAATAATAGAAAAGGAAGATAAAGAGAGGAAAAATCATTATAAAGTCAAGATAGTTCTTCTCTCATCTGTTGGTGGTTTCTTTGTAATTGAATTGGTTGATTTTTAAGAAGGTACTTCAGTATTTTTACATTTGAAATGATGTTAGTGGGTTTAACTAAAAAAAGTGTGAAAGATAAGGTGGGTTTTGTGTGACACCCCATAGTTGAGAGAATTTTCTCTAATTTTCAAAGTTCAGCGAGGTCATCTATAATATGTCCAAACTTTAGGGTAGTTTTCGTAACTTAAAATAGTTGAGTGTTTGGTTGAAATTCACATGTCTCTTTATCCTATCAGAAGATAACATTAGGACACATATTCTTATATTCACTTAAGAATTCTCACCAAATTAAAACTATCTATAATTAAAAAAGTAGTAGTCAAATATTTTGTAATCCTTATTAGATTATTACTATCCATAAAAAATCTCATAATTATATGTATTAAAATATAGAAATCAAATAATAAACTCATGTAAAGAGTATTTCCACATAAAATCACGGATTAATTTTAGAAAACCACCCCCAAACTATTTTAATTTAAGAAAACCAACTCATGTTTGGGCATATTTCAGATAACCTCACTCCACTATGAGAATTTGAGATAACCGCTTTAACTTTTCTCACTTAACACCCCTCAAATATGGGGCATGTCTCAGAAAACCCCTTTCAACTATTTTTAATTAAAAAAACCCCTTCAAGTTTGAGCTTATTGTATATAACTTCCTTAAGTTTGAAAATTTTGAGAAATCCCCATGAACTCTTCTCACTTTAAACCCTGAAAGGAAACATTATTAGGTTTAGGGTACTACATAAGGTGATTGAGAAAAGACTAAACTAAGCCTCAATCATATAAAAATTACTATTATTTTTTAAGAGAAAAAGAGGAGAAAGAGGGTAAAAAGTATTGTAATTTGAAAATTATTTTGTTATATTGGTTGGGGGTTTCTTTGTAATTGAATGGGTTGATTTTTAAAAAGCTATTTCAGTTATTTTATATTTTGAAATAACATCAAGAGGGTTTGGTGAGAAAAGTGTGAAAGATGAGGGTGATTTTGTGTGACAACCATAGTTGAGGGGGTTTTCTTTGGTTTTCTAAGTTGGGTAGGGTTATCTATAATATGCCTAAACTTTAGAGTGGCTTTCTCAAATTAAAATATTTGAGCCACCATAGTTGATGGGGGTTCTTCTAAAATTAAACCTAAAATCATATATATAAAATTATGCATGTGTTAAATTATATTTAAAGTTGATGAATTAGTCTTCATCTTAAAATATTATTGATAAAATTTTTAATTTTTTGTTATTTATTAGTTTGTTATTATGTCTTTACTAATTTTTATAAAGAGGGGTTTTTGGTTCATCAGTGTCTCTCTTTAAAATACTAATAGAAAACAAGACACCATAACAAATAAATAACATGTAAAGATTTATAAATTAAAAAACTTTCCTATTACAAAAAATATTTCTTGCGATACGAAAAAATAAACAAATTATTTACAAAAGTTACCCAAAATATTATCATGAATTCTCCATCCTTTATTTGAAGTTTTTTTATAATTATATTGGAATTCTAATGGGTTCTTAAGATTATTCTAGGAATGAATATTTGGATTATTAAGATGTTTTATAGATATTTTAAAAGCACTTATATTGTTCTAATTAAGTTGAAAATTTAATGCGAGCATCATAACATTGAGGTTTAATCGTGAGATCATTTTAGATTTAATCAATAGTGAATGTCTTATACATTTATCTAACGGGTATGTTTTATTTGTAAGACTCACCCATGCAAGCACGAGCATAATACTTGCACTCTAATAACACAAGAAAAGGGTACAAGTTTACACGACATATATTTGATTTTTCGTGTATAATACCTCTACAAGGAAATGCTTTATGGGCATAATCACCAAGGAGAACTAATTGAAACCCTTTGAAATTAAGAAAATCTATTATGGAAAACCAAGCTAACAATACCTCACAACCAAATACCCCCCACCCCACACACACACACAAATCTATATGCAAGATATACAGACACTAGGGATGTACAAACTCAGCTCCCAAAACTATCAAATTAACAAATCAAACAACAATATACTATTCTCCTAAAGCAGTAAGCGAAACAACAATACCATGAGCACTCCCCTACATACAACCTACTATATATGTATTCTCCTTCATGAACTTGTTATTGCAAATATTATAGCATGCATCTCTTTGCATCATTCTTCCAACATTGTTGGATATCATTCGCAATCCTTCTGGCATCCATTGATGTCCCCATTAAACCTCTCTTAGTCAAACCAACCGCATAGAGACCATTCTCTCCTTTCCACCCATTTGGAAATGGGTCCCGTGGCAATCCATCCTTCTCGGAGAAAAACTCCCTCTCCTATCAAGCCACTATATATGTCACTTGAAACACACATTTTTTGGGAAACTTTTGGAAAAAGAATTGGAAAGTAAGGGTTAATTGCTGATAGACCCCTTGTATTGTCATTAATTGTTTTGAGTTTCCTGCCCCCTCTAACTTTATTTTTGCACATAGATACCCCTAAGTGAAACCTTTTGGCTCTTTTACCCCTAGGGGTGGTCTGCTTTGTCAAAATAAATAAATAAATAAATAAATAAAATCATTAGGGCATATTTTTTTTAAAAAAATAAACTTGAACTAGAGAGGCAGTAAATTCAAAACGACAATACTAGGGTGATCTATTTACAATTAACAACCCAAGAAACAACTATGAGTTTTGGATACCTTAAGCCAAGAGGAAACGTTGCTTTTGTAACCCGTGGCTAGAACAACCGCATCAAAGCTCTCCGACCTCCCGTCCACAAACTCCGCTCCATCTTCAGTTAGTCTCTTTATTGCTGGCCGTACCTACAACAACAATTCCAAGCGAGGCACGCGCGCACTCAAAATGGTTAGTCCATTTGAGCACTATCTACGTGTGTTTCGTCGTAGAATATAAATCTTTTATTAGAACATTAATCTCTGTATGAGTAGGGTGGGATATAATCCGGAAGTAATTAAATTGAAAGTGTGAAAAACTAACAAGTGTGAAAGCGCGTTCGCTGCATCATGCATGTAAGTGAAATACATTATTTGTTTGTAAAAACAAATTATTTCTGAAACTATAGAAGCAAAGATAATGTATGTGATGATATTATTTTTATTCATTTATTTATAAGAAACATATTACACTTCAATGACATGTTAATTAATAAACTAAATATCTTAATTAACAGTCGTCCTCACTAGATATTTTCAGGATGACTTTTGACACTTTTTTAAGGGAAATTAAATATGTATAAGATCTCGTGTGAACTTTTTTGTCCTCATTTTCCACATATTTTCAGTAGAGCAAACCTATGAAGTGCTAAAAGTACTGTGTCCCTTAATTTCCCAAGTGAAGTGGTAAAACTGCGTCACGTTGCGACTTTCGTGGGAATTCAAATACCTTACTTCCTAGCGCTTAGACAATTGCTCAACAACTTTAAGGGCATCTCCAACAGCTTCTCCAAAATTTTCTCCAAAATGGGGAAGCAAAAGTCATATTCTTCAAATTATTTTTACACCAACTCCAACAGCTTCCCTATTTTGAAAAATCTCTTTTTTCCTCTAAAAATTTGGAGAATGCTGCAGATTTGGGGAAGCTTCCCCATTTTTTCTCCTCCATCCCTATTTTGGGGAATGAGATGGGGAATCTGTTGGACCAAAAATCTAACTAAATTCTCCAAAAGTAGCAAAGGGGGAAGCTGTTGGAGATGCTCTAATACCTTGATGTCTCCTGACTTGATCTTGACTAGGGTTCCGGTGTCTAAGACCGGGGTCTTGCCCGATACCGATTTTATCTCAAGCGGGCCGAGAACGGGCCGTTGCAGGCCATATAGGGCCGTGTCCCCTAGCAGGAAACGGGCTAAGAGTAAAAGAATCCGATCCACAATTCGTATAGGGAGCCATTTGAGAAGCCACGTAGACAACCCGAAAGTTGAAATGCCGAGCATCTCTCTTGGTAGAATGTGAACCTGCAGGAACGAATATAGCTAAATTTATGAAAATTGATAATTCAGATTCTCTCTGTTATAGTTAGACTGTAGAATAAGATTGTGATTTGTACAATGGTTATTTGCACATAGATGCCATATAGTATCGTTGTTTTTCACTTACCATCCATGTAGTTTCATATTGACCCTAGGTATAATTTTTTGACTATTTCACCTTGATAATACTGTTGAATAAAATTACTCAGTCGATCTGAGGGTAAAAAGAGCCAAAAAGAATTCTTGCAGGAGATCTATCTGCGAAAATCAAAATGTGATATCTATGTGGAAATAACCCAACAAAACATGAAATCCTATATATTAAGTGATGCATGCAGGATAAGATAGGGTCAAAGTTGGGACCAAGAAAAATTATAGTGCTTGCCCAAATTAGCATATAAAAAAATTGGCTTGGGATGGCAACTAATTATGTAGATGCTGTCTTCTCATTTACTTTCTTATCAACACCATGTGCTTTATTAGTGCTTGAATCTCAAATATTTAATCCATAATTGGAGAGGAGTGAACATGAGAAGGAAGTTCCTGAATGCTAATTAGCGTGTTAGTGTTTGAA